AAATTACCTAGAAAACCTGTTCACGCCGCACAAACTGTGTGACAGTGACCATGAACGGCGGGCGGAGGCCCGAGTCCAAGCTCTGCTGACTACCGTCGAAGAAAACCCCTGAGCTAAATAACGACCATGTGACGTCTCTAAAGAAATTCGAACCCTAAAATTAGGAAAGGCCTGCGGAACTATGGCATTCCAAATGAATGTCCCAGGCACCTTCCAAAAAGATCTCTCGTTCATATAACGCGTTTATTTAATCACTGTTTTTGACTCTGTCACTTCTCGACACCTTGGAAGGAACCCAAAATCATAGATCTGCCAAAGCCCGGCAAGAACCCAAAATTCCAACAAAATTTACGTTCGATTAGCCTCCTGTCCACTACTTGCAAACTTTTCAAGAAAGTCATTCTAAGAATAATCCAAATACATATGGAGGAAAGAAACTTGCTAAACACAAGTCAATTTGGCTTCCGTGCCCATCACAGCACGACACTCCAATGTATGAGGCTAACGGACCACGTCTCTCTGAATTCCAATAACAATATGTCGAAGGCTGCTGTATTCTTGGACATTGAAAAGGCCTTTGACACAACATGGCACCCCGGCCTACTATATAAGCTCACAGAGTTACAATTTTCGACTAGTTTCGTAACGCTGATTGCTTCGTTTCTAAACAAAAGAAAATTGAAATTTCAGTAGAAGGCGAACTTTCTCCGCCCAGGAAAGTAGCGGCAGGGGTGCCACAAGGTTCCGTCCTTGCCCCAGTGCTGTACAGCTTATATATAAATGATGCCCCCGCGGCACCTGGAACACACCTTGCTCTGTTCGCAGACGATATTTGTATATACGCAACAGAGAAACATGAGCAACGAGTTTTCAACAAACTCCAGCGTGGTCTCACTGTCGTGGGGTCATGGTGTCAGCACTGGAACATAAAGACTCGGGCTATCTACTTCTCCAGAAGGCGTAGAAAGCCTGAGGACGCACTACAACTAAACGGACGGAACATCCCATTTGTAAATAGTATAAATATCCCGGTGTCACCTTCGATAGGAGGATGACATGGAGCTTGCACGTAGAGAAAACCGCAGCCAAGGCCTTGGGCACGTACATTAGGGTATACTCTATACTCAAAAGCAAGCACTTGAGCACACACATTAAATTAGTCGTGTACAGAGCACTAATTAGATCAATAATGACTTATGCCTGTCCCACATGGGAGATTACGGCGGACACTCATTTGATGAAACTGCAGAGCTTGCAGAACAGATTTGCTATTGGCAACCTTGACCGGCTCACACCGGTCCGCGATTTTCACTTGGCGTTCAAAATTCCGTACGTGTATGAATACGTAATTAAATTATGCAGCAGGCAGGCAGATGTCATACTAAATCATGAAAATCCAAATGTACGTGAAATTGGACAAGGAAAAGCTAGACATAGGAAATAAAATAGGCTTAAACTTGGCGGCAGTCAAGCCTACGACCGTTCAAGTGTCTAACTGACGTTTCGGAGTGTCAAATAAATTGATGCATAAGCAGCTGCACATTCCTGCACTGACAGATGTCCCTCTACATACTAGAATTTAATTTAAGTTTATACTTGTGAAGAGTGTAAAAGAAAAATGTATATATCACATATTTACTCCTGTGAGAATACTGTAACCCAGGTGGAAAAAGGTGTAGAAAGTGAACACCGATTAAAAAAAAAAAAGACCAACCCCTCCATTTTTATCATTAAGGATGACCAACGAAGAGGAAAAAATAAACAAATGTCTAGACACTAAACCAAAATATGGCCATGGGTCCCAGCGGGGCTCGATGCCAAGAGTGACTGCGTCGGCTGATTGCCGGCAGTAAGCTTCTGCTCTGCTCTTTACGGGAGAGTCTTGGACGGCAGACTGAAGGTAGGAGGGTGTTGTGAGATGGCCGCCAGCCTGTGAAGACGTGAGCCTGGAAGCAAGGCAACTTCTACACAGCAGACTCAGAATGCTTAGTACGTGCTGTATTGAAATGCAAAGTCTGTGAATTAGCGATAGCGCTATACTTACTTCTAGTTACGGTCTGTAAGTCTTCAATAAATCCAATTGCCGGGCCAAAACCTTTCTGTAGTCACTGGATCACATGACAATAACATTATTCCTGTTGCTTCCTTTGTAATATAGGGCATCTGTGAAACGCTGATTCACTTTATTTCCTTTATTCTTCTAGAGAGTCAGTATGACTCCTCAAATGGGGTACCAGCTCGTCCCAAGACCTCTACGTACTTAGGGCAATATAAACATAGAAGAAGCTCAGGCATCCATGCCTCGAGTGCGACTCGAACCCACGATCCCAGTGTTTGAGCGGGCGGAGAAATCTCACGCCTAATGAATTCTATATTTATTTACATGCTTACACAATAGTCTAAGGGCCAATTCAAAATTTCAAACATGCCAGCCTTTATGCGGAAATATGTTTATTCCGTATATACAAAATGCGTACAATTTGTATATTAATATGAAGAAAGAGCTACTATGAAACATATTGAAGAAAAGCAGTTATTGCTCTAAAAACTTCAACATCCCTGCTAACAACATTGGCAGCTCTAGCGCATCTACCAGAGAGACGATTTTTACTTGAGTACCAGACGTTGATAAAGAATATATCTCTGATGTATCGGGCAGGAACTCGAAGAAAAACGATCTCGAGATCAGAACGGCAGATTTAGAATCATGGAATAGTAATAGCAGTAATAACGTCACGTGTTGGGTATGTCACGCGACAAATAAATTCACGTGGGTCTCGGATTTAGCGAATCTTTATTGGACACTCAATCTTACACATCTTACAGTTATTATCAGTTGTAGTGTCACTTGACTTCTGTCCTTGGCCGTGGCTGGATCTCATCTGTCTTCAGCGACGACAATCCCAATACTGTCTCGGCGAATGCATTACCTTGTTATATATCCGCGGCCGTTGCTACGCAGTGAACCTTCTGTTGTCTATCACCGGGGAAACGCTGTTTCGTTGATTCTGCAATTCCTACGCAACGGCCCACTGTTATTGCGTTACATGGAAGCATCTACTCCAAACACGTTACATTAATAAATAAGGTTTCCGCTCACTATGGGCTTTGGTATTCTTGTGGAGATACAGCTCTAATCCTTCTTAACCAGGTGTCGATGTAAAAAGTAAACGTACAGGTAGAGGCCTTGCGACGAGCTGATCACCCGCCCAAGGAGTCCTACCGAATGTGTAAGATCTAGAAAAACTGAAGTGAACGGAGAAGTTCGTGGAGGTAGGCCCAGGCCCACTGGGGCTGTAGTGCCGGGGGGGGGGGAAGTAAAGGTATTTCTGTAACAGGCCGTGGGGGCCCATAGGGTTTTGTGATGTTCAGATTCCCACATTTTCCAGAAAATCGGCGGCAACTAGGCTGCCGCGAGGTGTCTATGTACTGTCATAAATTTCCACAGTAGACTAAGGTGAGATGTTACTGTCACACCCTTACCGCTTGACTGGGTTGGCCTCAGGGAGGATCTATACACAATGGTGGTAAAGATATCTCCACCCCGTCGGGAATGAAACTTCGATTGTCTGGTAGTCCGGCCCGTAGCCTAGCAACTGTACTGAAGTAATCGCCAAGTTGCAGCCTTCCAGTAATAACAGTAATATTTATCTAATAATACATCAAATTATGAACCACAGAAACGAGTTCGGAGTGTTCTAAATACATATTTCATAGCCCAACTCTATGGCTTTGTTAGTCCGAAATTTCTTCAAGAAAAATAAAAAAGTTTAGCGTTCAGGAAATAAATGAGACATGGTATCAGAAGGGAGATGAAGCACAATACAGTGCAAACAACTACATAAGGATGATTTTCGTCATTCGTAAATGAAAAATTATTATAGTGAGATACTGTAAATTCGAAATGCATACAGAATATCGGTTGGAAAACTGTCAAAGAAAGAGAACAGCTGGGAGGCCTAGGAATAGAGGAGATTGTAATGTTAAACTACAGTAAATCAGCTGCGAAAATGTGCACTTGCTTCAGGATGGGGTCCAGTAGTGAGCTGTTGCAATTAGGGTGACGAATTTCGGGATTCATGGCGAAATTTCTTTATCTCCTGAACTTGAATTCTCAAGTGATCAAGACTAAGTTATTAGGCTAGCTGCATGCTGAGTTATGAACGAGATACTTACTCGGTTAGCTATTTGGCTAAAGAATATGTTAAATATTTAAGTAACAAATTACTGAACTGGTTATTTGGCTAGCTAGTGAATTATAAATATAGGTTAGAAGTTAGTAAGTTTAAGAGTTCTGTCTTCTGGGATATAACGTCTTGCAGCCCGTTGAAAGTCAACCGACGTTTCGAAGGATCATATCAACTCCTTCTTCACGATAGAATAAGCCGAGAAAGATGCCAGAATGAAAGCAGATGGCAAGCTTGCAAGGTAGCTTTCTTCCTGCTTTCCATCTGGTATCTTTCTCGACTTATTCCACCCGGAAGAAGGAGATGATATGTTCCTCCGAAACGTCGGCGTACTTTAAACGAACCACACGGCGTTATATCCCAGACGATAGTACCCTTCATAATCACCTCCGTGAAGACCTCAAATCATACAAAAGAATAAGTTACTTAACTATTGTAGTAAGCTAAAATATTTGGCTAGCTGGTTAATAAATTAGTTCTTTGAGTAATTTAGTTAGCTAGTTATCGAGTAAGTTTTTTGGCTAGATGGTGAGATAACATCTAGACAGCTAGTTAATGAATTAGTTGGTTGGCTAGATAAATATTTCGCTAGCTAGTTAGAGAGTATATACTGTATATACCTAGCCAGTTAATGAGTTAGGTGTTCACGCAAGTTGAGCTGGGCTGAAATAAAAACACGCAGGAAAAATACTCGTATAAGTGAACGACATCGCTCGCTGATTTTGTACATTCAAAGTTCTCAATATTGCAGACGCCCGTTCGTTGCAGTTTAAAGACTGGTTGGCTCCGAGGTCGCAGTCTACTGTCGAGCGTGACACACAGACATTTTGGGCTGAACTTGAGCCAGGTGTCCCCGCTCAGTGAGCGAATGGGGCCTGCCGAGGTAGGACCGTCTCTGCTCAGAGCAAAATCTTATCAGGAATTTCACAGTGACAGTGCTGCTCTTGCTGTACACAGCAGTTAATACTGTGGGATGAGCCATCAGTAAGTAGGTACACAGGCATGCAATGATTTGCATTAATTTTCTGAAGAATTGAAACAGTTCTTAAGTATATCCGCAGTGTATGTTTGTGTTCTGTGGGATTCTCAAAATAAAGAAGTAGTTCCCTCAACAGCATCAATCGGTTGGTCATCGCAATGGAGACGCAGACGTGTGACGTGGAAACTGATTTTTAAGTGTTATTTAGAGAGACGTATTTTCAGTTTCGAACGGTTAAGCTATACGATGCAACTTGCATATTGTGATTTCAAACCACTGCATGTGTAAAGTTCGAACAGTTAAATATATCTTTCCATAACCCACGTTTAAGGTTAATCTATTTTAAAACGAGTCATCTCCATCTCTCTCGTGCTAATAAGTTTTATTTTAATATTGAGTCACCCTTCTTAAGGCACAGCACGCCATTTAGTATTACACAGTGCTATGAAAACTGCACATACTAAAAGGATATTTAACGATGCTTTCAGTATGGAAATTATACAGCTTCAATTGAAGGAAGAATGACAATTTATTGGGAATACACAGTGTGTCCAGGTTCTATTAGGACTGTGTTCATTAAAAATACAAGACGTGAATTATTTTCAAAATTTCACTCTTTTTATTCGAAATAGTCTCCTGAATCAATACATAGCTGGAATCGATCGAACATTTTTCGAAAACAGTCACTGTACTCCCTTTGTGGAATCGCATTTAAAACTGCGGTACATTCCCTTTGGATGTCCTGGATGGTGTCGTGACGGTCTCCCTTCATCGCCAACTTACCTTTTGAGAACAATCAGAAATGGAGCCAAATCTGGTGAATACGGAGAATGATCAAGGACTGTGATCCCTTTTCTGGCCAAAAATTGCGCAGGATCTTCAATTTGCATGCGCACTTTCTTTGTGCTCAACCACGCTGCGCTCTGCCGCTTTATGAGAGGCTCATATTGAAAACACCATGTCTCGTCACCAGTAACAATCAATTTTGTAAATTTTGTATCACTTTGGGCCGACCGTAACATGTCTTTGCAGTGCTCCACTCTGGCATGTTTTTCATCGCCTGGCAGCGCGTGCGGTACAAACCGCCCACAGACCTTCCGTTTGCCCAAATCATCCGACAAAATTTGATGCACAGTACTTTTTGGTATTTCCAAAAGCTCCTAGATGAATATTGCAGAAACACTTCTGTCTGATGCAAGGATTTCGGTCACTTTTTTCACATTTTCTTCAGTTCAACTTGTTCTCGGCTTTGATGCACATGGAGCGACTTCAATGTCCTCCCTGCTCTCACGAAATACAGCATACCATCGAAAAATGTTTGAGCGACTCAAACAATCACTACCGTACACACTTTCCATCATTTTGTATGCTTCTCCGGCTGTTTTGCCTAACTTCAAACAAAATTTGATGTTGGTTCTCTGTTCAACCGCCATTTTCCGACGAGCGTCAGAACAGTACTGTTACATTCAAGGTGAGAACACATGATGCAGCGATGCTTGCGGTTTGAAATTACAGACAGCCACAGCTGAAACTTCAAGAATCTTAACGCCACAACTTGCCAACAGATGGCATGGCAGGGAAAAAAAAAAGGGATCCTAACCTATCCTGGACACACCGTGTATTTAGATGAAAGCGGTCCTGACCCAACCGAGGTATTAATCCCGTCATTTCCATTGATAGGCTGAGGATAACCGCAGACACCCTCAGGAGAGTCTGTGTCCCTGCCGAAATTCGAACCGAGCACTTCCCGAATATAAGTAGGGCGTTCTTTCAGGACCAGTCTTTTCGGTGCACGACTACATATTGGAAAAGTAAATTAACAATTTCATGAGAATTAATTTATTTTTATATTACGAGTAAAATAAAACTGATAGATCCATCTCTCATGAAAAAGGAATAAATTGTTGATTTTCATTCAATTTTCTTGCCTTTATACCTTTATGTGCTATAAATTATGTCTGATGAAGGATTTAATTGCAGAAATATAGAACCAGTGTGAACGTAGTTAGAAACAGAAATTCTAATTAGAGGCAATATGATTCCTATAACTTTAATGGCATTAAGGATATGTTTTTTTAAATACTGTTAATGAGATGGCAAAAATATGGAATTTTCTTCTATTGCGATTTATCTTACTTCTCGGACTACAGCTATATTGTTGAATGGCAGTGTGATTGGTGGATAATAAATTAGAAAGGATCTGAAAGGAATCACTGTCACCTTAAAGGACACCTCTTCAAACTGGGACTAAGTGATAGTCCCGCTTGTGAGATGTGTCAAGAAGAAAATGAAACAGCCACACATATCCTGCGTGAATGTGAGGCCTTAGCTTTACGTCACTTGGGTCAATACTTTATGGAATCAAGTGACTATTTTGACGCCCCCACGTACAAAATCCTGCGCTTCGAATGAACTCTAGGTACTACCGCATTTCCCGGACTAACCGAGGAACAGCACGAGATGCCTCAGTCAGGATAACAGGTGACGCGGCCCAGATTAGAACCGAGTGCCTCCCAGATGCAATCACAGAGCTTTTCATATACTCCAGCATGCTTGGTGGTTTGCTTTATTAAGCCCATATTACAAGTACAAAGAATGGAAATGTAATGATTTGTATCCTTCGCTGTTCGTATAGAAGGTATACATGTATATGTAGCCATTAAAGTAACCAATAGTGTAGGGATTATCTCTTTTGGTTCCGTAGACGTTCACCACACCAAACACATTAAAGAATGTATGCATAAGGTAACAAATCTGCCCCGTTCTTTCCCTTTTATTTTTTCTCGATCTCCCTAACCCTCATAGAGAAAGCATAATTGTTGGGCATGACATTCGTGTTGTCTTTACAACTTCTTTTGTAATGTTCTTCCCTTGATAAATATTTAGTGATTTATGTTCCAGTTGCGCTTAGATACTCATGTAGATCCTTCTTAATGCACAATGATCTTTATTGTACGATTTCAAGAAAATTTGGAATGGATCAATACATTTTAGTGAAACTTTCCTGTATGAATCGTGTCGAGGTATTTCATGCGGGGAAACATTCCGAAGCCAAAAGATGTATTTGTCAACACTTCGTTGCGAAAACATTTCAAGTAATATTTATAGCCCTCTATTTTATGCCCTTTAGTTACCTCAAACAGTAACACATCTAATTTTATTTATTTTTATAGTTTTCTTCAGTCCCTCCAAGCAAATGATGGGATAATACTTTAAAATTAGACCTCGATTGCTTCTTTTCACACCTTTTCCAACTCGCTATTCTCTGTTACGCAGTCAATGGACGCTATATGGTCTATATAGTTAACGCAGAGCGGAGTTAAACAAGCCTAACTCGAAAGCCAACTTTAGGGGAAACTGAAAAATTCTTATGTTAAATAATATGAAATTCACCAGATTACTTCACATTTCATTGAAACCTTTTGAAGGTTTCTGGAGTTTGAACAGACGACAGACATAGACGCCCGGCTGCGTTTGTGTCATGTTGTGCCGTGGTATGTCACGGTGTACTCGTATTAATAGGGAATGACATTTCTGAATGACAACACTAAAATAATATACAGTTTTTCCCCAAATTTGTTGGAACTTTGAAGGTTAACGTAGTTTTCCGTCCGTCTAGTGTAATAGGCCTGGCGTGTAAATAGTGTAAATCTGAAATCCAGGCAGGTAAGTTGGCAAGCCTGTAGAGCGGCCTAGGAGCTGCTAGGATGTAATTTATGCCGTTCCTTCTCCAGAAAATTATTTAAGTAGAGAGTCTGAAATCGCGTGTCTGTAAATATGGCCTATCAGTATTTTGAAATACATTCGTTTGTAATGGAAAACAAGACCGGAACGGTCTACTGCAATTTTATATAAGGCACAAGAATTTTCTAGATGCGTTCTTTGCAAATTTGCATGCCTCATGAGCTCTGATGTTACTTTCATGCTTATTTAAATCTTGGAGCAAAACGAAATAATTATTTAGTTTTCATATTACTGAATGTTTAATGTAAATTACTTAGATTTTGTGTAAGATGCGTGCATTTCCGTGAAATAGATTTAACGCCGGTGTTAATTTTCCTTTTGTTTGCCACTTAAACTTCATTCTTTATGAGATAGAATAAGATATTTACATATTTGATAATTAATAATTTATATATACATATATGTAGAATCGCCGGGATAGCGTAATCGGCATAGCGACTGGCTACGGGCTGGATGGCTAGGGGGTCGGAGTTCGAGTCCCGGTGGGGCAAGAATCTTCGCTCCTCCATGTCGTCCAGATCGGCATTGAGGCCCACTCAGCCTCCTATCAAGTGGGTACCGGCGGCTTTTTCTCCTGGGGTACAGCGGTCGGGGCGTGAAGCTGACCATTCACCTCCAACTAGTGCCGAGGTCAAGAAACATTCACTCCCCCATACGTCTTCATGGCATAGTGCGTAAATAGTTAAGCACAGGGAGAACTTTACTTTTTACGTGTAGAATCACATCAACTTTAATTGTGTCTTCAATAAATCTTACTGAATTTATCAAAATCGATTAGTACCGGACCGATATTTATATACGTAAATTCATATTTCCTTCAAAAAGAGAAAGAAAAATCAGAAAAACATGAATATTCAGTTCATTGCGATGTAAATACAAGTAGGCCTGCATTGTGCAAAGATTTATATACGTACAATTTTGGTTAACTGCAGGGTGCTTAGTTATTTCGCTCCGCCCTTTGGTTTAGACCGCTGAAGAGATTGCCATGGAATATGATATCGAGGGAGTTTCAACAAAATATGTCAGAAAATTCCAGTTTGGGTTACAATCGGACAAATAAACAGACACGCGCTTCCTGATGTAACTCTCTAAGTTTTATCGCGGCAACAAATGTCTCGAACGAAAATTATATTTCTGCGAGTATTTATTTACTGATGGAGATGAGTCCTTCTTGAAGATCCGCCAGTTCTGTAGCTACTCAATTTCCCAGCATTTTATGGAACCCGAAGTTTTATTACCGTGTTCACAAGAGCCCCCCACT